TTGACAAATTGTCTGCCAGAGGCCAGTGGTTACATTAAGACTCCTTGCTGTTGACACACATAGTTTCACTGCCCTGAAAATCCACTGCCCTGAAAATCCTCCACCTATTCATCACTCTCTCCCCTCCAACTCCTGCAACTCCAGCTCTTTAGTTTTACCCTTTCCAGAGTTCCACAGAGTGGAATCAGATATCTTGTAGTCTTTTCAGATTGGTTTCTTTGGTAACATGCATTTAAGTTTCCTTTTCGCCAAGTTTCTTCCTTGTTCCTGTAGCATCAAATACTATCCCAGGTTTGCATGGACCACAGTTTGTTTACCCACCCACCTAAAGGACATCTTGGTTGCTTCCAGGCTTTGACATTTATGAATAAAGCTGTTACAAACATTCCTGTGCAGGCTGTTAGTGTGGACTTAAGTTTTCCACTTGTTTTGGGTACATGCCAAGGAGCAGGACTGCTGGATCATATGGTAAGAGAATGTTTAGTTTTGTAAGAAATTGCCAAACTTTTTTTTTTTTTTTTTTTTTTGCCAAACTGTGTTTCAGAGTGATTCCCACCAGCAGTGAGGTAGGATTCTGTATGTTCCACATCCTTGTCAGCACTTGTTGTTATCGATGTTTTGGGTTTTGGCCACTCTAATACATGTGTAGGGTATCACTGTTTTAATCTGCATTTCCCTAATGACATATGAGGTTGTGTGTTTTTTCATCGTATGTTTATGTTCCATATTGTTTGATGAGGTATCTGTATGAGTTTTTAGTCCACATAAGAAACCATATTTGTTTTCTTATTGTTGACATTTGTATCTAATGATATCCCCTCTCAAGTTTTTCTTTTGTTACTTTTTGTTGTTGTTGTTATTCATCCCTTTATTTATTCTCTAGCAATAACAGTCTCATATAGCATTCAGTCACCCACATTAATTTCAGCCATTTCCATGGTAGATTTTTTTCCTTCTTCATATTCTCAGAAAAGTCTATTTCCCTCTCTCATTTATTTAGTTCTTAAATACATTGATTTTCATTTTATTTTTTTAAATTAAATGTATATATTTTTATATATAACATTGAAACAGTATTGGTTTTCTCCTCTCAGGTGTAGTCCCCGTCAAATTTCCACCACCAGCTCATCTGAGCAGTTGCTTCTGTTTTTGACTTGATGGGAATTTATTTCCTCATGCTGGGAAGCTGGTGATTCCAAGATTGAGGTGTAGGCCAGACAATTTCTGGTGAGAACTTTGTTCTTGGCTTGCAGACGCAGCCTCCTTGCCCTGTCCTCAGATGGTAGCAGGGACTTTCACTTCTGATGTTAGTAAATGAGGTCTTCCTTCTCTTTCCCCTTTTGCTGGGCTGTCTAGCAGTGTATTGATTTTACTGATAGGTTTTCCTTTTCAGTTTGTGTTCTTAATTTCATTTCTGACCTAATTTTCACCATTTCTTCTGTTTACTTTGAATTTAATTTGCATTTAAGATAGATGCTTTGATTATTGATTTTAGATCTTTGCTAATATATGCATATTTGCTATCATATCACAGTTTCTCTACAAACACTGCTTTTATTGCATCCCACAAATTTTAATAGGCTGTATTTTCATTTCCATTAGTTCAAGTTATAAAAATATTCTCTGAAGATTTCTTTTGATCCATGTGTTATTTAGTAGTGTGGCATTTATTCTCCAAGTATCTTAGGATGTTTCTGTTACCTTTCTGTTAATTATTCTCATTGAACTCTTTGTGGTCTGAGACAGACATATGATTTTTATTCTTTTGATTTGTTAAGGTGTCCTGGTGAATATGGCCTGTCTTGGTGAATGTTCCATGTGAGCTTGAGAAGAACGTGTGATCTTCTTTCTGTTGGATACACTAGTCGCTAGATGTTAGTTGTATCCAGCTTGAGTGGTGCTGTTGAGTTCAGCTATGTTCTTAGTTTCCTTCTGATGGATCTGTCCTTTCCCAGGGTGTTGAAATCTCTGACTGATAGTGGATTCATCTTTTTGGTACAGTTCTCTTAGTTTTGATGATTTAGTTCTCTTTGTTTTGATGATAATAGAATTTAACAATCCACAGCAGGATATAATGTGGGATAGGTTTGACTTAGTAGTTTGACGACATCATCAAAGACCTGTCTACTTTTCTTGCTCAGCCTTCAGGCTAGCCAGCTTCACTCCCCATACAGATTCTTTCCAAGTGGCAAATGACCCAGAAATCCAGTTTAAATTCACGTGCCACTTTGCCCAGAGGGGAGCTAGTGTCCCTTTTGGTGACTTAGTCAGAAAAGTAAGAAAGCTTCTTTCATAAAACCAGTACTTTAGAGGATGTATATTGCATGTTAATGGACAAAATTAACTAAGAGGTTCTTTCTGAATTAACATCTGTGCTTGAGCAACGGTGTGCACTATTTGGCTTAAGTGTGGGTTAGATGTACCTAACACTTAACAGTTATTAGTGACTGTTAAGTCTTCTTGAAGAACTGTTTGTTTTATCGTTTTGTAATGATTGGATTCCTGGTAACATTTCTTGCTTTAAAGTTGGCTCTGTGCCATTTATTCAGCCACCATTGCTTTGTTTTTAAATTAGGATTATGTCTTGGAGCCCTCCCTGACAGTGCACTGGGCTAAAGCACAGCACTGTGAAGCTATGACAGCCACTGTGGCATGAGTTCGATCCCCGGCCAGGGGGAATGACCCACATGATGCATCAGACCTTGCCTGTCTCCCCGCTGCTCCCCTTAGTAGTGTACTTCAGTAGATTCACCTGTTCTGCTCCCCACTCTCTCTGGGGAATCCTCTCGCTCCCTGTACCTCCAGCCTGTACCCCAGTTCTGTATGTATAAATAAGTCTTTAAAAGAAATTAGGATTGGGCCCTCCCTGGTGGTGCAGTGGGTTAAAGCACAGCAGTAAGAAGCTAAAGCCACTTTAGCATGAATTCGATCCCCACTCTGGAGGTGACCACACGGTGTGGCAGACCTCTCCTGACCTACCCGCCACTCCCCTCAGCAGTGTACTTCATTGATCTGCCTGTTCTGCTCCCTACTCTGCCTCTGGTGACTCCTTACCGTACTTGTGCCTCTGACCTGTACCCCAGTTCTGTATGCATAAATAAATATTTTCAAAATAAATAAATAAAAATTAGGATTATGTCCTTCCTCTCTTTTAATCTGTGTCTTTGAATTTAAAATGGGTCCTTTGTAGGCAACATATACTTGGGTCTTGTTTTTTTTTTTTTTTAAAGATTTATTTATGCATACAGAACTGGGGTACAAGGACAGAGATGTAGGGGCGGCGAGAGGCTTCACCAGAGACAGAGTGGGGAGCAGAACAGGCAGATGGACGAAGTCCACTGCTGAGTGGAGCAGCGGGCGGGTCAGGAGAGGTCTGCCGCGCCATGTGGTCACCTCCGGGGCAGGCAGGAATCGAATTCATGCGTAAGTGGCTTTAGATTCTCAGTGCTGTGCTCTAACCCGCTGCGCCACCAGGGAGGGCCTTGGTTTGCTTTTTAATTCCCCTTGGTAATGTCTGTCCTGTAATTGGTGGCGCCTTTGATGTTGGAAGTAATTATTTAGTTACTTTACTATACTCGTATTCGTTACTGCTTTCTACTTGTTACCTTTGTTCTTTGTTTCTTTTACTGCCTTTTGTGGTTTTAATCGAGCGTTTTATGTGATTTCATTTTCTCTCAGCATATCAAACATACTTTTTTCAAGTTTTCTTTTGTTTTTTCCTGTGGTTGCTCTAGAGTTTTCACTGCATCTCTGCAACTACTCCAGCTCCGCTCCCCTTTCAGTAATGCTGTGCAGCTTCCGGGCAGCGTTGCGTGCCGTGTAGTAACAGGACTCCTGATTCCTGCTCCCCCTCGGGATGCCACTGGTGTCACTGAAAGCTCTTGCTGTCCTTAGCTTACACGTCAGTGTACCAGAGCCTGTGTAGACGCACCTAAGTGTACATAATTCCATTGTTGCTGTTTTGATGTCGTGCAAGCCTCGTGTCAAACCAGTTAAGAGTAAGGAAAAGAAAAGTTTGTATTTCATCTTCACTTTTTCCTTCTCTGCTGTTCTTAATGTGGCCAGGAGACCCTGACTTCTGTAACTTTCCTTCTTTCTGAAGAGCAGCTTGTACCGTCGCTTGTAAGCCCAGGCTGATGGCGGCAGTAAGTCCCCTGATGGCTGTTTGTCTGAGAAAGCGTTTTTCCTTTACTTTTGAAGGATAATTTCAGAGGTGCAGAATACTTCGTTGGGGTTTCTCCTCTTCAGACTTTAACTGTTTCTCTCTGTTCTTTTCTCGACTGCGTGGATTTCGCGAAGTCAGAGGTAGTTCTCATCCGCCTCCCTTTTCGGTGATGGTGCTTTTCCCTTCTGGGTGCTGGCAAGATGTTTTCTTTGTCTTTGATTGTCTGCAGTTCGAATAGGATGTGTGTGGGCACAGGGCTGTTTGTTAGGGTGGTTGCATGTGTGAGCTGCCTAGATCGGTGCTTGGTGCTTGACATTGATTTGGGGGAAATTCCGACACTGTTGTTTCGACTCTTGTTTCTTCTGCTCCTTCTCATCTAGGGTTTCCCGGTTCTGCCCATGGTAGAGTGCCCCACGGTCCTTGGACACTTCATTCTGTGTTTCTGTTTTTGCTTCATCCCTCTGCACTTCACGGTTTCATAAACTTCTGTGACCACATCCTCACGGCCAAGCGTGGCCCCCCGTGGTGTCCAGGCCGCCGGTGGGTTCTTGGTGTCGCGCGCCCATGGCCCCGGCATTTGTTTTATTATTGAGCGTCTTCACCTTGCTGCTTCCCCCTTATCCTGCTGTTTACTTTTCCCACTGAGCTCAGCGCACATTCGTGGGTTCACAGCTCCTACCCTGACCATTCCACACTCCTGCTGCACCCGACTCTGGATCTGATGCTCTTGTTCCATTTTTCAGTGGTTTTGCTTTTAGTATGGCTTGGGATTCCTTGTTGAAGCCGGACATGACATGCAGGGGGGAAGGAGGAGGCATCTGGTAATGGAGCGTCGATGTGTGGGGAGGGTACGGGCTCTGCGGTGCCCAGCACTGGCTCAGGCTGTGCCCCCGCCGGTGACGCTCTCTGGTGCCCTCAGGCCCCCTCGGGCAGGCGGGCGGCTGGGGTGGCGGAGTCCTTGCCCGCTTTCACAGCTTCTGTCTGAGGAGCCGGCGGGCAGTGCTTCCGGGCAGGCCTTGCTGGGAGCCGGATGCTCGTGGCGCCCTCTCCCGTGAGCTCGAGGCGCCTTCTCCTGCCCTAGCTGGGCGTGAGCACCTGCGGCCTGGAGGCCGAGCTGGCGAGCGCGCAGGCCCGCTGCTGACCGCTGACCGGTGCCGCCTTCCCCGGCGCTGGCCCCCGCTCTGGACACTGACTCTGTCTCTGCAGTTCCTTGTTGGCCCCCACCACTTTGGGGGTCATGTCATGCTGAGCCCCGGACCTCCGTTCCCTGGCGAAGCTGAGAAGAGTTGTTCGTGTTTCATTTTGTTGTGGCTTTTCCTTGTTGGGTCAGAAGAGGTGACTTCCAGCCCTTCCAAGCTGGACCAGAAACCGGAAATTCTCCAGGTACCATAGTTAAGAGTCCTGGTCAGTGGCATTTGGTGTATTCACAGTGCTGGGCTGTCCCCACTTCCATCCATTCCAAAACATTTTATTCCTCCAGAAGAAAACCTTGGAACCATTAGCCCCTGGCCTGTTGCCCCAGTCCCGGGCAACCCTTCTGCCCCTGAGGATGTATCTACCCCCGACAGTTCACACTGGCATCATACAGTCATGCGGACCTTTATGTTTGACGTCTTTCATTTAGCATAACTTTTTTTTTAAAGATTTATTTA